ATTTAGCATTACTAGAGTTGCTGGTTTCGATGCAAAATTCTTGTCCATTTCCTTGATATGTTCTTAATCCCCATGGTGTAAATCCGTCAACATCAATTTGGTCACTTAGAGTAAAGGATCAAAAGCTTATGTCTGCTCTCACCGTGTAGTACTGAGGTTCAGCAGTCATACAGGAAGGGCTCCATTGTAGAAGAGGAAGAGAGTTGTCCACCAACACCAGCTTCAATAAATTAGAATGAAAGGAGTTATTGGGATTGCAGGAAATTAAGAAGAATGTCACTAATCATTATCCATACATAATGGACTGCTTTGGATAAGAGTATCTTAGGGTGGACCAATATTATACTTGAGAGAGGTCAAAAATTTGTATCTGATTTTTAGCGGCATCGATGTGTGACGCGGCTTCTTCAACGACCTTTTTTGATTTGCCGACTCTTTTTTTTTTTTTTAGGATAACTGTCCTGGCAGCCATCTGCCTCACTCAGGCCTTCATGATGTGGAAATTTATCAACTTCCAGCTGCGCCGGTGGAGAGAGCATGCCCAGGCCCAGACTTTGAAAAAGAAACTGGTTCCTTCCAAGAGCAAATCAAAGAAAGACAAAGGTGAGCAACGAGCACAAAATATGAAGCGCATTGACTTTTATTGTAAATGTGTTCCTCTGCAAAGCACTGGACATTAGACTATATGCATTTCTTTGTATTTTATGCATAATGTTTTTGCGTACATAGGAACTAATTTGGATGTGTCCCTTCTTGTTTTTAGCCAATGGAGTAAATGGAGTGAGCTCCCACGCGGCCGATTCACCAAGAGCAAGAAAAGAGAAGTCGACATAAATGCATTCCTCTCTATCGCGTCCTTCCCAAAGAAATGATCTCAACCCGTGCTTTCGTGGCTGCATCCAACCAACAGTCCCTCCAGCGCCCCCCACCCCCCGCCCGCCCGCGATATGCATTTTCAGACCCCACACAGGACTGACCTCCCAGCTGGACTTCAAGAGCCAGAATGCATTTAGCTTTGCTTGTCGACAGTCGTCCAGCACGCCTTGATTTAAGAATCATTGCTCTGCTGTGCCACTTTGAATAAAAAACAAAACAAATTCCCAAACAAACTGGGAAAAAAAAAAAAAAAAAAAAAAGACCTTATTTAAGAAGTGCCTATTGATACAGATTGTTTTGTATAGGGTGTGTAAAAATAATTCAGGAATGATGCCTTCAGTGTTTTATGTCTCTCCCAAGTCAGGTCATGTCGATGCTTTTTCCAAAATAGTGTGTATTCCAGCTTGTGATTTATTTCCCTTTGTTTTTCTTGTATTTATAAGTGCTAGCAGCTCCTCTTCGCCTCTTTGGAAGGATATTTGTAAACATTTTTTTGTAAGAATTTCCTAATAATATCTCTTATTTTTCCATCAGTGAAGGTTGCATACAGTCCTGTTTATAATCTCTGGGTTCACACCACAGACTGTTCAAACTCACACAGCAGGACATGTGTTTTCGCCGTGTCACTGGCCAACAGATATGATGGAAAGCGAAGCAGAGGATTTTACAATATCCACTCCTGGATAGAATAGTGAAGTGTGCATAAAAGCAACCCAGGAAAACGGGAGACATCACCCTGTACTACTACTATACGTAGATTCACAGTTTAGTGCAAAGCTGCCACTAAAGACGTAGTAACCTGATGTAGCGTTTTATAATCTGAGTTTAAAGCAGCTTTTAGTCACAAAACTACATATCCCCTGCCATGAAATGATGCTGACTTTATTGCAGTTCTGCCTATAGCACTGTCATTAATTGAACACACTTTGTGTTTTAGTTTTGAGTGATATGAGATGATGTTATAAGAGATGGAAAGGAAAATCAGGCAAAAACATCCCATTAGTAAGTTAGTTTGTTTGAACCACTGTCTTGTATGGTCCATAATTATTTGCTGTTTAAGGGAAATGGGTTTATTGTATTTGTTTGTCCCTGCACATTGTTGCTTAAAAGGTAAAAATGTCCACAAGAATGATTTGTTGTTAAAGCACGGACTGAGTGTGAGAAAAACATATTTTGTTGGCTCTTTTTTTTTTTTCCCAACCCACTATAAACGTGCCAAATGAGCCTGATTGACTGTTGATATATGTATTTCACTTACATGCCATAAAATGAATTTACAAAAGTATCGTGAGAAACAATCGATAGATAACACTGGTTTATTCTAAAGAATTAAACCCCTTAACTGATTTTAGGTACACAGTAAGTCATGGTTGTCAACTTGTCTCCAGCAGTATATCAGAAGTGTATTTGGTTTTTCTCAGCTTGTCCTGATTGTTTTATCTATCTTACAAAGGAATAAAATGTTTATTGAAAGAAACAACTGTGAAGAGTTATTTTTTCTTGAATGGAGATATTGTTAGGTACCTTGAGCAAAAAACATGGAGAAATGAAAATAATTTGTTCCAGTTATGTCATCAGTCACTGTGTAGATTGTATAACCTGACATTTATGTATAAATGGTGTTTTAAAGCCTTCTCCTCATGCAATTATGTGCACACAAATGTGTATTTTATACTGTGTAGAGCACCGTTCCGAACAAACCTTGCCCTTAGATAAACAAACACAAACGAGAAAAACCTACAAAAATGGTGGTGTGTGGTTAAACGCGTCCACATGGAGTTTCTGTACTCTGCAGTCTTTACTCTTGTTCATAAAATCGTGTAGAAACCACCCTGTTGATGTTTCACCTATCCGCCACTTGGTGGCAGTGTTGCACACGTTTTAAAGGAGAGAAAACGCCTCCTTGCTTGCTTGATCTATGGATCGTTGACCACGCAGTAAATCAAGGCAACTAAACTAGGACACGCTTACTTCTAATATGTCTAAAGCCTGACATGTTAGCGTGCTGTTTGCGTTTTGATATGGTTATTTAGTAAAGTAGCTAACAAAATTACACAGTGTTTGTTGAAAAAACACTTTTTTTTTTTTTTACTGTTTAGTTACAATTTCTCTATCTTTAAATTAACTAGATTAAATTTGTATTGTTAAGGGAAACTTCAACTGTTTTCTTTTTACCATCCTTTTTTATTTGTTAAAGGTAAACATCTTTATGAGCTTAAACATGTTGGTAAACAGTATTACCATTAGTGTAGATGTATTGGTTTAAACACCCTTTATCACTATATTGGTAAATCTGAGTTGGGATAGGGGGGGTCATAGTTTCCCCACCTCTTAAATAACAGCATACATTTAAAGATTAGATACTGACAGTCGTGACACTGTGGGGGCTTTAAGTAAATGTCAGTGTTTTTTTATTTCAGATTAAATGTAAGCAAATGTACGCAGTTCGATCAAATGTGAAGAATCGTGTCATCCTTAACAGGTAAATCAGCGTTGAGGGTTTGCTGAGTTGATACTGCTGGAAGCCCCGTGATGTGGTTTGGTGTGGGGGAGGATAGCAGCTACCAGCTCCAGATAAACACTCAGCATTGGTTTGCACAGCAGGAGTAACATGGCGGCACAGTTAGCCAGCAGAAATGTTGTTTCACTACCGCGAAGGTCAGAGCGGCGTCTGATAAACGGAATTTAACAACGAGGACACGGACAGAAAGTATTAAATCGTAAGTAGCCACACGTGTTGGTGCTCGCTGCCGAGACGGGACGTGAGTGTTTTCGTTGTGGGGAGGAAAAAAACCGATCCAATGCGAGGTCTTCAATCTCGGTTGTGTGTCTGTGTCTGGCACAGGCTCTCGCTTTCGGCGTTAGCTCGTTAGCATTGTTAGCTCCTCGGCTAACCCCGCTGCCTGTGTCAATAGTGTTTTCTGCAGCGAACTCAATTTAGCGAAGCTTTTGCAAGCGAGTTACTCCCAATGTTTGTCAGCCGGTTTTTAATTTAGTGGTGACCTCCGTATACATTTGGTGTGCCATACAAATATAGCGTGCACAATACTTTAATATGTCATTGTGTGGGGTTTTTTTGTGCTGAGTGAGCGGGTGACCGTGTATACAACACCGGACGAAGTTCGCCAGTACAGCAGCAACGTAGTTAGCATGCTAGCTGATTAGCCGCAGGCTAAGTCTGGCTGCTCGGTACGTCGTTGTCAGAATAAACGAGTGGGTCAGGACAGCTCTTACCAGCATGTGTTTGAGCGGGCTGCTAACATCGTTTTTGTGTGGTGTTAAAAATGCTACTAGGTAAGTTTATTAAATTCCTCCATGTGTTCAGGGTGCAGGGAGCATATTCTCGTTGTTTTTGCTGAACTCATGTTTCTCTTGTGTTACTATGCATCGTCGAGGTGCTCTACTACGAGGCTATATGTAGCAGCCAAGCTATATAACGCGAGCACTTTAACCAGTTGAAAGGTCTCCTTTTTAAACATTTGGACGAAAGTGTTCAGAAAGTTGGTCCGTGCACTCGGGGACGAGAAACTCAAAACTGTCGCTCCTCCACGCTCCAAGCTCGGAGGAGGAAAAACTGTGCATTCAGTTTGTTGTGGCATTGCGTTCCCAACACGTCATACAACTTATAATTATGTGTTAACAACACAATTTGCGTGGCATTCACGCGGGGGCTTCATTGTGTGAGATGTAAACGGGGGCAGGACTTTTAATTAAATACAGATGGTGCTCTCTGAAGATGTAAGGTGCCCATATAGCATGCAGGGGAAATGCTACCCAGAGTTTTGACTTGTGTGTGTCTTTGTTGCACTCCTAATATGGGGCCCCCTTGCTTGACTGATTCGGGACTATACAGGCAGACAGCTTGTGCCATGTCGGTGATTGTCAACGCTCCTCACGGGTAATGCTGCAGGAACGCATCTCGTGGAACCAGTTGAGCAGATTCTGTTGCATCACTCTGCCCACCTGATGGTGCACAGCAGCAGCAGCAGCACCGGTGTCACATCACCCGACGTTGAGCTTCTAATGTGATATGTTGTCCAGCTACAACTTCAAGGGCTGGATCTCAGTCAGCAATACCGGCAGCCACGTAGAATGTAAACTCAAGGAATTTAAAAGAAACAATGATTGCATGTGGTTCATACTTAGGTCACTGGGCATGCATATGGTGCCTCCCCTAGTTGCAAAGAATGCAGTCCTGCACAGATGAAAGCATGCATTCCAACAGTATGCGTGTACATGGTAGTATTACTTTGCTTGTATCTTAGGTCTAAGCATACTAGTCTCCTGCTCAGATTCATATAACGGGGCTTTTGCCCTTGGCTGGTGCGCGGAGAAATGTGTTTTGTGTCATCTCGACTAAACAGTACAATAGAACAACTGTGTTTTGGATGATGACCATTCCGCAATTCATGCAAGCGTGTATGTGGATGTTTATACAAGGATAACTGACTGGAGGTTGTTTTTTTCCACACTGACTTGGCACAGTTTAGTGTAGTGTGTGTTACCTTTTAACCCATTGTATAATACAGCTTGAGCAACAGGTGTGTGTGACAGTGGGTCACATGGTCTGGAAGCCACCTCTACATTAATGTCTTGTTTTTTCTATCAGTCTGTTGCTTCCTTCACACAAACCTTCTGTGTTGTTGTTTAGCTCTTTTCGGGTCGCCCGTCCCAAGTTCAATGTGTCTTCACGACTCCATAAAACAAAGCAAAGTGTTTTTCTATTGCAATTGGAGACAAGCCTCTCGTCTTGTAATCGCCGACTTTTGCCCTGTGATAGGCTCGCTTTGTTGCGTCACCTGAGTGATACTGTAATCATTTGACCCTTGCTCTGTTGCATGCGCTGCCAGTTCTCGGGTTGTTGACTCTTACTGTTGGCCTAATATGAGAGTCATTATACAGCTAATCAGTTTTATGTACTGCACACCCACTAATGTAGAATTAAATCCTGTTTTTGTAATTATGTCAGACATGCTTTGTCATTTATGCAGACTTTTCATATGTTATGAGACAATCTTTACACTAAACACAGATTTTTAAGCTTAAGTGAACTAAAGTAGAGGTTGTTCCAAGGTTACAAATATGCTATTTCTGAGGTCTGTGAACGTACATCTTAATATATATATTTTTTTCATTTTCGAGGGGAGACATAATGAGAATCATACTTGCAGTTAATACTGATTGACGCTTTGAATTTTGTGTGCAAAATCAGTAGTCGCATCTAGCTACACAGCATTATCATAATGCCATTATGCGTTAGATATATCTGGTGGATAATCTATACGATTTTGTCAGTAAATTCAATTAAAATGCAGATTTTGTGTCTTAAAGTCAGTCAACTACATCACACAGATGTTGGGATGAATACCTAAATCACACAAGGACCCCAGGTCATTGTGGCCAGTTGTTATTGGGGCTTTAAGCTGAACTTATTCCAGGCTTGTAACCACGGCCCCACTGGAATCATAAGCAGTTTTAGAAGAATGCTAGATGCTTAAACTCATTTACTGCTGGAATAATTCGTCCGTTAATCGATTAGTCCTTCAGGAGACAATTCATCTGCAACATTTTAGAGAATCAATTAATTGCTTATATCAAATTAGAAACTAAAAAGCCAGATTTTCTGGTTGTAGATTCCATTCTTTAATGTCTTGTCTTCTAGAACAGAATACTATCTTTGGGGCTTGGATTGTTTATAATCTTGAGTTGCAGCCCTGAATACCTTACTGGGCCTCGTTATTTGAACATTCTTATCAGAATACTTATTGTCGGATCTCACTCTAAGAAGTACTATGTTGGAGAACTCTTAATGCTGAAGTTTCTAAATGACACCTAACAAATCTAAAAGACACTTCTGTTTGAATTGGACATGAATCCCCTTTTTAAAAATAGCACGTTTTACGAGTTAACTTGTCCGGCTCCTCTTCTTTCCACACACTTCTCGCGGCGAACAACATTACGTTGACTCATTTGAACCAGGCTGGAATGACATCCCTGTCTCTGCCGCTTAGTGCGTCCAGCTCCTGAACAACACCATACCCCTCTGTCTCATACAGCCTCTTTAATGTGTGTGTACTCCTTTTTCTTTTCTTTTTTAAAAAGCCGAGTCAAATAACAGCATCCAGCGCTGGCAGGAATCTGAGCTTTCATGAGGATGTTGCAAAGTATTTCTGAGCTCGATCAAATCTCCAAATTCCATTCTGAAACCGAATGTTAGGATAAACTGCTACGGGTTGCTCTGCTTTTAGGGGGAAACCTCTATGACCAGACCAGTTAAAGAAGACTTGAACTATTACCATTTTCAAATTTAAAATATACCAAACTGGAAGATAGACGGGTTACGCAAACACCCAGAATGTCTTCTCATAAAGTTTACACTGTTATCTGTCCATCACATGCCGTGAGGGCCACGGTGTATTGTTGACATGATGCACCCCCCCCCCCCCCCGTATCTTTTTTTTTCACTGGGCATCTCAC